TATCCCTTTGGCATATATGGTCGTGCCAATTTTCTTCCACAAATTGATCTGAGGAAGTGGGTCTGGCCCACAAAAGCTCATCACCTAATAAACCATCTTGTTAGTCTTTAAAGTGCTGCATAGTCCTGTCTTTTGTTTCATTCAACAATGTTGTAGCCCTGTCGGTTCCATTAGGATATTAGAGAGACCTTTATTTGGGCAGCAGGTATGGATGGTGATAGTTCTGCTGTTGTTACCTGCACAGCATGTGCCATTTTTGTCTTCCTCCCAGAAGAAAGAAGGGATTTCATCCAGGAGCGGCTCAAGGCCAGCTGTAGCAGCTGGTGCCCCAGGCGGAAGGTGCGATAGGTGCCCCCGTCTGCATGGCCATCAATGTCTGTGATGTCATCATTGGGTGCCCAGGCCAGCGGCGCCCTAGGCAATCGCCCAGTCTGCCTAGGCTCACTGGCCGCCCCTGATTTCATCTGTACTAAGTGCAAGCTGGTTGCCATTTTGGAGGAAAAAATTAAAGGACTGGAGGCCCAAATGTCAACTCTACGCTCAATCAGAGAGGATGAAGACTTCCTCGATAGAAGGCAGAGTTTAATCCTGCAAGCAAGGCAGGCAGAAGAACCAGAGAGGTACAGGACGAGGAAGAGAACTGGCAGCATGTAACTTCTAGAAGGAAAAAAAGGCCAGCACGGGAATCCCCCATTCCTACAGAGGTAAGTAATCGCTTTCAGGCTCTCTCCACAGGCTCTGCGATGGAGAATGCTTTGGAAGGGACCTCACAAGGAAGAAATCAGAAGGGAATCACTTCTGCTGGAAGGCATGGGATGCATAGTCCTATGGATGGGGGTTCCATGACCACCACCCTCAAAAGAAGAAGGCGGGTGGTGGTTGGGGACTCCCTCCTAAGAGCCATCCATCTGCCATCTGGACCTGGATTCTTGAGAGGTGTGCTGCTTACTGGGTGCTCGGATTCAGGATGTAACTGAGAGGCTTACAAAACTGTTCAAACCTTCAGAAATTGCTACCCCTTCCTGCTTCTCCATGTGGGAACTAATGATACGGCCAAGAATGAACTTGAACAGGTTACTGCGGATTATGTAGAGTTGGGAAGAAGGATCAAAGATTTCGGAGTGCAAGTGGTGTTCTCGTCCCTCCTCCCTGTTGAAGGGAAAGGACTGGGTAGGGATTGTCGAATTGAGGAAGTAAATGCGTGGTTGCACAGGTGATGTCACAGAGAGGGCTTTGGTTTCTTCGACCATGGGACTCTGTTCTGGGCACAAGGATTGTTAGGAAGAGATAGGATCCACCTAACAAAGAGAAAAAGGAGGCAGGCTTGCAAACCTAGTGAGGAGGGCTTTAAACTAGGTTTGTTGGAGGATGGTGACCAAAACCCTGAGGGGAGCGGGGAAGTTAGATACTGGGAAGACATGCAAAGAGGAATGAGCACACTGTGAGAAGCCTGGGTAACAAACAGGAAGAATTGGAGGCCCTGGCCCAGTCCAAGAACTACGATTTGATTGGGATAACATAGACTTGGTGGGATAACTCTCATGACTGGAGCGCTGTTATGGAAGGGTATAAACTGTTCAGGAAGAACAGGCAGGGGAGAAAAGGAGGAAGAGTTGCACTGTATGAAAGAGAGCACAATGATTGCTCAGAACTCCAGTATATAGAGGGAGAAAAGCCTGTTGAGAGTCTATTGGTCAAGTTTAGAGATGTAAGCAACAGCAGTGATGTTGTGGTTGGTGTCTGCTACAGGCTGCTGAATCAGGTGGATGAGGTAGATGAGGCTTTCTTCAGACAACTGAGAGAAGTTTCCAGATCACAGGCCCTGGTTCTCATGGGGAACTTTAATCACCTTGACATCTGTTGGCAGACCAATACGGCAGTACACAGACAGCCCAGGAAGTTTTGGAGAATGTTGGGGATAACTTCTTGGTACAAGTGCTGCAGGATCCGACCAGAGGCCGTGCGCAGCTTGACCTGCTGCTCACAAACAGGGAGGAGCTAATAGGGGAGGTAAAGTGGGTGACAACCTGGGCAGCAATGATCACGAAATGGTTTACACATTTATGTACTATTCACAGAATGGTGAGTTTTTAACTTATAACAGTTTATAGCAGTTTAAAACCATTAACAATAAAGTAACCGTAAATATGAAATGTGAGATTTTCAAATATTTACCTGATTTTTTGGTTTTGTTAATAAAAAATGGACTCTCAAACTGAACAAATAAAAATTCATATAGAAACCAGATTAAAAGGAGCACAATATTTTTCTTCCATTGTAGAGAGACTTACAGGTTTCTAAGTGATCAGACTTTTCTTTAACTGCTCCTGGACAAAGACCATGGAAGCTAAATTTCAGTCCAGAGCAAATTTTTAATGACAGAACTATAAACCTCAAAAGTATTTTGTTCACACTGATTACAATGCATACCGTTTTACTACGATGGTGCCATTTTAATCTTAAAGAAAAAGATACACTGACACAGTGTGTCCACATGACACTTTTTCTTTCCTGTTGGAGATAACAAATAGGTACTTTTTAAAGGATGGATTATCTCATTTAAAAAAAACCACAAAGGGAAATTATTGAAATGTAGAATTCACACACAAAAAGAGCAATATTTATAGCTGACAGGGCTCTAATTAAAACTTTGGAGCAATTTTTTCCACTTACTTTCTCTCCCATCCCTCATAAATAAAACAAAACACTGCCTTAGGGATCACCAGTGCTGTTTCCATGAAACTGCACTTCTAAAGTTCATATTTTGTTAACCTTCCAGAGAACTGTAGTCTACTAAGACACTTCCAGATTTAAGATAATGTAATTATTGTATTTCCTTTTTTTAAAAAAGGCAAGTATCTGGTGCCCTGAGTGTCAGATATATAAACATCTCCTGTCAGGGTCCTGTGATTGAAATGAATACTATATCACTGAAGCATTACAAATTACTGATACATAAACACAGCAAATAACTTTTTTTAAATCAAGCTAACTGGAATGGATATAGTTAAGTGAAATGGACTCAATTCTAGTCAGTTATATCTGTATCCTTCACCACTACAGAGGTATTTTGGGCATCAAATTCAATGGACTATGCTATGCACTGTGGCTTTTATACAAATAAACCCAGTTGTTTCCAGGAACAACCAGTGTCAAGTATGCAAATAAGTGATGATACTCCATACACATCATCTAGTCCTGTGTATTTCTCAGCTCTGAACATGGAAAATGCAAACTTTTTTCTTATTACAAGTACTTCACCTAAAAGATTTACTCTCTTGTTAATATCAGCATTTTCTAATAGTCAAGGACCAATCTGCTGTTTCAGTTTATGGAGGGATTATGAACACACTACATCCTTCCTGGTTTCAAAAGGTAATTCACATGCAAAATCTTCTTCCCAGCATAGCTCAAAACTTAATAGTTCTACATTACAAGTTTGTTGGAGATGAGCTCCATAAACCATGTCTCTGAGGGTATGTCTACAGTAGCCCCCTAGTTCGAACTAGGGAGGCTAATGTAGGCATTCGAAGTTGCAAATGAAGCCTGGTATTTAAATATCCCGGGCTTTATTTGCATCTTCCCGTCCAGGCGCCATTTTTAAATCCCCCTAGTCCGAACTAACTGCCCATGGCTACACACGGCAGCCAAACGTTAACTCGAACTAAGTCCTTAGTTTGAGTTAACTGTTATACCCATTCCACGAGGTATAACAGTTAACTTAGTTCGAGTTAACATTTGACTGCTGCTTGTAGCCGCGGGCAGTTAGTTCGGACTGGGGGATTTAAAAATGGGAAGATGCAAATAAAGCCCGGGATATTTAAATCCCAGGCTTCATTTGCAACTTCGAATGCCTACGTTAGCCTCCCTAGTTCGAACTAGGGGGCTAGTGTAAACATACCCTAAATGCAGTTAGCAAAACTATCCTATCCTGGGAGACTGTCCTGGTTATGACAATGTTGCAGCCCACTGAGATGAAGGAGGGCCACTCATGCGGCCCACTCACTAGCCTAGTTTGCCCATCTCTGGTCTAGCAGCTGGAGCAGGAGGTCCCACAACAGCTGTTGGGGTTCTGGACTCAGGGGAAGTGAGGGGGCTGCCAGGCCTTGTTAGAGCCACAAAGGCCTCGAAGAGGCTAGAAGCCATAGAACAGGGTGCTCCCCGGGGCGCTGTTCCCTCGCAG